AAAAATATTACTGCTTTAATCACAGATCAGGTAAAAAGGACGACATGCACAACCTCCAACTAAAATCCTGTTGTAGCCTAGACAGTGCAGTGGTATGACATCAGAAGACTAAAATTGCAGCTCTTTTTGGATCCCCCAAAGTGTATCTGCACTCTTCTTCCAATGAGCCTCTTCCTCAGGAGTTAGTCACCTTCACAAGGTCTGAGATTCCATTCTGTTCCAAAATGCAAGGAGCACTAAGGAAGACATACTGCAGTTGCCCTTTAAGCCAGATGGATGTTCACAGTGTGTTTTATAACTTCCTGGCTCCTTCACTGAACATGCCTACTCCAACATTTTTTCCCAATCAGTCACATCCTGGGATCCAGTGTATAAATCCAATATCGCATGTGTTATGCATAATTGTTTCAAAGGATTTTATTTTGTGAACTATATAATCAGTAGTGTATGTTACCATATAATGTAGCAAGGCCTACATATGAACAATGCAACTAACTATCCAAGTGTTATACCAACTAAAACCCCCAATAAACCTTGAACAATGAAAAAAGTTGGGAGCCCAAGGCAGGTGGATCCCTTGAGGGGTGTTTGAGACCAACCTGCCAACATGGTGAAACTATGTCTCTACTAAAATACAAAAATTAGCTGGATGTGGTGATGGGCACCTGTAATCTCAGCTACTTGGGAGTCTGAGGCAGGAGAATTGCTTGAACCTGCAGTGAGGTGAGATTGTGCCACTGCACTCCAGCCTGGGTAACAAGGGGAGACTGTCTCAAAAAACAAAAACTTGCCTCTTATATTTACTATAGGGATTAAATGAGATAATATATGTGAAATGGTTATAATCATGTAGCAGGCAATGAAACACATAGCAACATGTAACACATAGGAACTACTCAACTAATGATAGCTGTTGTTATTTTATTTTAGTAAAACTGAAGAGACCTTTCCGAAGCACGCTAAGTAATAGTGCCTAGCTTAAGATTAAACATTTTTCTTGGATAATCCACCAAATACAATGCAAATGTGAATGACCATTCTTTTTTTTTTTTTGCCCCTCTACCCTCCTGTCTTTTTTTTTTTTTTTTTTTTTTTTAAGACTACCTGTCAAGATCCTTCATTATTTTTTAAGACATGGTGTGAATGACTGCAGTCACAGACTACTTGGCAAGCTAGGGCAGGGGAAAAATAGCAACAATTAGTAAACAAGTACACAAATTGACTTGTTTTATAAGATTTTTAATGTCTTTAAAAATGTTAAGGATTTATATTAGTGATAAATATATCATGAAATTGATAAATCAGTAAAATAATGATTTCTTTCTTGCAGGCATATGAAACCTTGCTCCAGAAGGTACTTAATGACAATTTTTTGAGTCTTTCTTAGTAACCAAAATAATCAAACCCAAAGAAATCTGTGTTCATCTCCCAAGTAACATAGAACACCAGAATTTAGCTAACTAAATCAGTTATGTCACATAGTTTCTATTTAAAATGATACTAATATCAAAAGATACTTATTACACTTTTCATAAAAACTGAAATAAGAGATCTGAGTTGAGAAATATTTGGAATGGTATTTTTAAGCCTATTGTTGGAGCAAATTATAGCATTTGCTCAAAAGTTGAGTATTCTAGCTTGTGTGAGGTGATGAGTTGTTGCAGATAGTCTCAAATGGTCTTAAATATTTGGTCCTACTCACTCACCACTGTGAGTGGGCTACATGTGAAGCTGGGTGAATGTCTATGCTTAAGAATCACCACCAAGGCCGGGCGCGGTGGCTCATGCCTGTAATCCCAACACTTTGGGAGGCCAAGACAGGCACATCACGAGGTCAGGAGATCGAAATCATCCTGGCTAACACTGTGAAACCCCATCTCTACTAAAACAAAAAATTAGCCAGGCATGGTGGTGTGTGCCTGTGGTCCCAGCTACAAAAGAGGCTGAGGCAGAATTGCTTGAACCTGGGAAGCAGAGGTTGCAGTGAGTCGAGGTCTCACTGTTGCACTCCAGCCTAGGCGACAGAGTGAGACTGTCTCAATAAATAAATTAATTTAAAAAAAATCAGTTCCGCATAGCTGAGAATGTTTAAAAAAATAATAATAATAAGGTTCAAATAATGAATTACAGTTACCCAGAATGGAAAACCTACGAGGGAAATTACACTTCCAGAGAAAGGGTGAAAAACAAGGTCAATTTAAAGTACAAAGGTAACACATTATTAATCAAAGTAATCCTTTGTGACATCTACTAGAGAGTGAATGCTAGGGTTGCTGGTGTCTGGAGACCAATTGTGCTGAGTAATATGACCATTCCCAGAGGTACTTTCCTTTTGCCCCAGAATCAGGGAATCCTGAGTGCAGCCCATGAGGCCCTCCTCAACCAAGTGAATGAGCTCAGGGCAGAGCTGAAGGAAGAGAGCAAGAAGGCTGTGAGCTTGAAGAGCCAACTAGAAGATGTGTCTATCTTGCAGATGACTCTGAAGGAGGTAAATAATAACAGTTGAAAGATATCTGCATTCCAACATCAGGTATGTTCGAATGTGTATTTCTGTTTTTTGAGACAGCACTGTCACCTGGGCTGGAGTGCAGTGGTGTGATCTTGGCTCACTGCAACCTCTACCTCCCAGGTTCATGCAATTCTTCTTCCTCAGCCTCCTGAGTAGCTGAGATTACAGGGGTATACCACCACACCCAGCTAATTGTATTTTTTTTTTTTTTTTTAGTAGAGCCAGGGTTTCACTATATTGGCCAGACTGGTCTTGATCTCCTGACCTTGTGATCTGCCCTCCTCAGCCTCCCAAAGTGCTGGGATTACAGGCATAAGCCACTGTGCCCAGCCTAGAATGTGTATTGCTGCTTGCTTTTTTTGAGACAGAATCTCACTCTGTTGCCCAAGCTGGAGTGCACTGGCATGATCTCGGCTCACTATAGCCTCTGCTCCCTCAGTTCAAGCAACTCTCCTACCTCAGCCTCTCAAGTAGCTGTGATTACAGGTGCCTGCCACCATGCTCGGCTAATTTTGTATTTTTAGTAGAGACAAGTTTCCACCATGTTGGCCAGGCTGATCTCAAACTCCTGACCTCAAGTGATCCACCTAGCATGGCCTCCCAAAGTGCTAGGATTACAAGCATGAGCCACTGTGCCCAATCTGAGTATTGCATTTTTTTTAAATGAGGGGGTTAAAAAAAAAAAAGGCTCCAAGGGGTTAAACCACTTGCTTAAGATTATAGCATTAGGGGGAAAGCTGGGACTTATGCTTAGGTCTGTTTTTCAAAGTCCTTGTTCTTTCATAATGTTTTCCTGCTTCCATAACAGTAGAAACCCAGAGACCATGAAGACTTATTTTGGAAAATCTTCATTAATTCCAGTGAAAGTTTCTAGCCCACCTTCAATTGGTTCAGGTCTTTCTGGTTGAATGGCTTCTCGTAGACACTAGAGATGGGGATAGAGTTGCTCTCACCCACGTCCCTCCCTGCCATGGAAAAGGGAAATCCTGTGGAGGGAGAGTTTTACCTTTAAAATGTTATCTCAAGGACTCTACCATTACTCTTAGTTTCAGGGGAGAGTTGAAGATTTGGAAAAAGAACGAAAATTGCTGAATGACAATTATGACAAACTCTTAGAAAAGTGAGTACCATATTTGGGTCCCAGACCATTGTTACTATAAAAGACATTACAGGTTGGGCGCAGTGGCTCACGCCTGTAATCTTAGCACTTTGGGAGGTTAAGGCAGGAAGATCACGAGGTCAGGAGATCGAGAACATCCTGGCTAACAGGGTGAACCTTCTCTACTAAAAATACAAAAAAATTATCTGGGCGTGATGGCACGCGCCTGTAGTCCCAGCTACTCGGGAGGCTGAGGCAGGAGAATAGATTGAAGCTGGGAGGCGCAGAGGTTGCAGTGAGCTGAGATCACACCACTGCACTCCAGCCTGGGCAACAGAGCAACACTCCATCTTAAAAAGCCCAGGTGAGGTGGCTCACGCCTGTAATCCCAGCACTTTGGGAGGCAGAGGTGGGTGGATCACCTGAGGTCAGGAATTCAAGACCAGCCTGACCAACATGGAGAAACCCTGTCTCTACTAAAACTACAAAATTAGCCAGGTGTGGTAGTGCATGCCTCTAATCCCAGCTACTAGGGAGGCTGAGGCAGGAGAATTGCTTGAACCTGGGAGGTGGAGATTTCACTGAGCTGAGATTGTGCCATTGCACTCCAGCCTGGGCAATAAGAACAAAATTCCATCTCAAAAAA